TTTGACCAGGCTTTTTGTGATACACTGAAGTTCCCATCCTTGGTTGTAAATCTCAGTGTGCTATGATATGAATGTAGATTAGTGATACTGATGCAGCCCAGGCTTAACAAATAAAAATAATTAAATAGATTAAAAACTACAACAGGTTGCCTGGCTGTGTGACACATGCAGACTTTTCTTTATTCATGAGTGTCAAAAAAAACCTATATACCAATGTATACTGTAATGTATACTTAACTGCATTACGTCCTGCAATCGTAACGCAATAGGTGGATCCAATAAAGCATTGAAAGTCAGTGGTGGAAGAAGTACTGACATATTTTTTCTTGAGCAAAAGCAAAATTCAGCTGAGTCCTACAATCAAACATATAATTCACAAGCGCTGTTAAATATCAAAGGTATTCTGTGTCACTGTGCAAAACTGCAATTCAAACTTATATTTATCATGTATTATCAGAATATTATTACTGATGCATTAAAGGAGCATTATGTAGTTTTCAGCCACTAGCGGTGCGGTTTTAAGATTGCAACCAGGCGTGTGCTCGTACGCGTGCTCGCTTGAACTCATGAGCGAGCATTATCCGAAACACAACCACTTTCATACAGAAATCCTGCAATAAACGCAGGAACACCAGCATGCAGGCTGTGGCTTTTCACTCAGACATGTTCAGGTTACTTCAACATTCCCGTCTCAGAGGCAGATCAACACCGGCGCCGTACCTTTCATTCAGCGCAGTGAGACACATTGGCATATTGGCACAGTCCTCCCGAAAAAAGGAGCGAGAGCAGCTATAGAGAGACAGGGAGACAGCTTCACACCGCATGGTGGAAACTCAGGTAAACTCCCACTGCAACTTTACAGTAATATTTTTATCAGCTTGACGTTGAACTAATCCATGCTCGTTAAATGATCACGCTACATTTACTGCATTTAGCCGACGTGCTACATCGTTAGCTCGCCTGCTGCTTTCAGTAACTATCTTTACTATTTGTGTATCTTTCACCGGAGGCTCAGCAATGTCAGCACAGCTAAATGTACTGGATGATAACGAAACGGTTAGTGAGCTGGACTGAATATTATATTGAGATTGTGTCACACTTTATAACAGTTAGACTGCAGTAAGTTTCTGTAACTAGTGTTAGTGGATGGCTCTTCCTCTGTGTTGTATATTATGTGAGTCGTTAGTTACAGCCACTGAGAGGTGGAGAAGCTGTGTACCTGAGTATCTGTAAAAGGCAATAAAATCTAAATTGAAAGTTATGAAGCAAACAGCGACAGGCCGAGCTAATGTAGCGTTAGCTGGCTGCTCCTGGCTGCATCACTATAGGATAGTAAACAAATTGCTCCACATTTGCTTTTTACCATTTCATAATTTCTTGCAGGCTTTGACACTTCACACATAATATCTGTGGTATGCAGGATAGTAACATGGGTGGCGTTAGTTGGTGAAGTAATGTGGAGAGCGATATGTCTTTGCACCGGATAATGTTAGCAACTGATCGGCGTTAGCGGCGTAACTTGACTTTCTCTGTTTCTTCAGCTTTACTAATGCTGACTTTGTTCTTATTCCTCATCATTTGAACCTGTTTGGTCTGATGGGCTTCAGCACATAAACCTTTATTGTTGTTTTGTATCCTTATGTGGAGCCTGTGTTTTGATGTGAGCCAGTTGTTTTATGGTGTTAGTGCATGTGTTAGGTACCGTGTTGTCGCTGTAGTACGAGAGAGGCTCGGGAGCGCGCACAGAGATGAATCCGACCTGGTGTCCTCACATTAAAAGCAGAATAGTGGCTGATGCAAGCAACAGAGAAAACAGGAGTGTGCTTCATTTCTGAGTGAGTTTTGAGCCCATTGACAATAAGGCAATGACAATTTGATTTATTAAAATCAAAAACTTACATATAGCCCCTTCAACATGTAAGCAGCATTTTAATGTTGTCAAGGTGAAACGTATTTTAACAGATTTATTCTCTAAGGGTCCCTGTCCACCAAAGCGTTTTGGTAACGTTTGGTAAAAACGCCAGGAGCTTGACGAGGCGTTTTTTTTTTTCCGGTCGCCGAGAGTTGAAAAATGTTCAACTTTGGGGAAAACGCGGCGCTCGTCACTGTCACTTTTTACTCAGCTGTCCAATCACAGTGCAGGAGGTGCGGGACAAACACCGCACCGAGCACATCCGATCTTGAACGAAACATTGTGCCTTCTCGCCGACGTGTGTCCTCGCCCGCAAAATCTCATGAACCCGCGAACCTGTGCTCTCATGTTTCAGCCTTCTCTTCATGCGGAGCAAAGGCCAGAGCAAGTAGGCCTACGTACTTTGTGGTGGCATTTTTACATTCACTAAAATTAAGTAGGCTACCCCACTTGCAACACATCGCCTCCACATAAATTATGTATCATAGTAACCACAATGTCTCAAAAAAAACCACTGCGTCTCCAAAACGCACCCTAGCGCTCCCAGCTAGGCGTTTTCAGAACAGCAGGTGGCGCTTTCAGCTGGCAAAAAATGCTTTTGGTGGAGACACAGGCCCTAATAGTTTAATCTGTACAGATGCCTCATATTTTACAAACTGATTACATGTTTTTACACATAAAATTTTGATCTGAAAGGTAAGTAGTAGACATAGCAGTGAAATAAATGTAGTGTAAAAGTGTATAGTACCAAAATGGAAATACTCAAAGTAAGTAGTTAAACTGTATAGTGCATTTCTCGAGTAAATGTACTTTGTGTCATTCCACTACTTTGGAAAGTGTGTGTGTTTCTATCCTAGCCCTATGCCTTGAAAAAAAGGACAAGCACAAGAAGTGATTCACTGCCCGAACAAGCCAAAGCTGTGGCTGATTCAAGAAAACCTCAACCTGCAGTTATGCAGAGGGAGAGAGAGAAAGAGAAAAGCAGTTACAGCAATGTTGTGAGGATGTCTAAAAACAATTTAATGTGATGAACCCAACTCTTGGACCAACTGTGATGCTTTATTGTACTCTAGGTCTTTATGGCCTATACTGCAGCACACAGGTTAATCCTGGATAGATGGGGTAGGTACAGTCTATTTGACTAAATCTAGATATTTTATTAAAATTCATAGCCTTATGTGAAGATAAAGTCCGCCTATATAAGGCCATCCTGCAGTACACAAGCAGGGGATTCAAGAACAAGCTGGACACCCTCAAATGAAGACTTACAGAGTTATCACACTCCAGAGAGATAACAGAGTACAGGTGTTTTTTTTCCCTTCTGCTTTCCTCTTTTCTGATGCATTCGTTCATCCTATATACGAGCAATGAATAATTCAGACCAACACTTACCCCTACAACTCTCTCTCTTTTGTCTTTCTCTATCTCTCTCCCTCCCTCTGTGAAACACACCAGCGCCTGTCATGCAAATCGCTCCACCTTGTGCATTGTGGGTAAGGTTTTTCCTAAAGGACTTCATGGATGTGTAGTCACGTTTTTGCTGCGAGAGTGAACTGCCAGAGGTGGGTGAGGGGTGGTGGTGTGAGTGGGAGGAGAGGAAGCAAGGTGCTGAGGGAGGGAGAAATAGATAGGTAGCATGTGATGGGCACAGGAGGTGACGGAGGTGTCAAGTGAAGGCGGGATGGATATGGAGGGAGTTTAAGGGCAGGAGGTCGACAGCAACGCTTAGCTAGAGGCGAAAAGAGGCGGCACGCAAAGAGGAGAAGAGAAGATGAAGGGTTGCAGTGCAGGTGCAAAATGTTAGGGGAGTGAAAATTGGTGCAGCAGAAACAACTGAGTCAGGGATTTTCTTCAAGTGAAGGCACATCCAGTATATCTGTACTGTAACAGATGGGAGAAAAAGGTGAGCAGAGTGATTGTACAGAAGGAGAAAGGGACTGAGAAAAGGGGTAGAAAGGATAATTATGTAGGGAGTATGTAGAAAAAAAGGGCGAAGAAAGGTGGAGGAGAAGTGCAACCGCGGCAAGAGTGGTGGAATAACAATTTGCAGGACTCCTGGAGTTTGTCAGATTTTCAGATATGTGATGGAGAAAGAGAACAAAGAGGTCAGAGGGAGGTGAAACAAAAGGATGATGAGATAGAAGAGAAAAGATTAGAGGAGAGCACAAAATAAAGGAAAGGCGATAAGATAAAAAAAAAGGGTAGTTAGGGGAAGTGGAAGAACACCCACACACACACCCACACACAAACAACTTAGAAGTCATGGAGCTAATGAGATGTGCTGGGTTGCAGAGGGCTCGCAGCCAGTTCATTAAGGCCAGCAGATAGCAGGTAGCCAACAGACGGACCAGCTGGAGTCATTAAGTTTCGGCTTAAAAAAAAGAAGTAATGTTTAATATTCGTGATTTACTTCTTTACACCGTGAAATCCTGCAGTCAATTATAATAACATTAGTCCTATGCAGAATCAGTAATTTAAGAAGTATTCTGATGCTTTACTTAAAGAAAAGTACCAAGTACCTTACAGTATGTATCAAAAGGTAAGGTTTATATCATTAGATTTTTAATACTGTGTGTCAGAAGCATTTTACTGTTATAGATGTTTGAGGTGGCGCTAGTTTAACTTCTTCCTCTTCTTGATCTAGGGGTTGAATCAATCTGAGGATTAGTGAGATGATTAATGGGAGAGGAAAGAAGAAAAAAACTAATTCAGCAACACAAATTTGTATTAAATTTTCAGACTTTACTCTCTCTTTATTTTGTATATTCAACCTCTTTCAGCCTCAAACAATAATTTAAATGAAACAATCAGAAACATTTAGAGGGAAAAGGTCTCTTTGGTAGAACTGCTAACAGCTCATATGTGATATCTGACTATTGAGGGATCCAAATATACATTTTTTATTGTAGAAGATAACAATACAGTGGATAAAATCTTAATAAAGAGTGCAGCATATATTTAGCATTGCACTCCTGTAACATTGTCAGATTGGAGATATACAGTTAAAAAATAAAAAGGATCAACATTGACATTGTCTTTGTCTTTTTTTCTTCCTTCCTTAGCAGAACCTGGTGCCTGCATTACCCACAATGCAATTCGAGCAGAGATGAGGAGTGGGCTACAGAGGTCTAGTAAACTTTCAGTTTTGAAGTTTCCACCACTGTGTAGAGTTAATCAGCATAGCTCACCTGCAACAGATTGATGAACGGCCAGTGCATAAAATGCTGTTTGAGTTGAAGCGATTCTGGGATCAGACCGGTTATGATGAACTGTACTACAAAATGCACACACAGCGTTACCACAGCTGCTCACAGCCTGCTCTTATCATCTTTCCAATCACCTTCCCTCTTCCCTCCTCCTTCCTTCCATCCACCCACAGCATGCGCCTCTCCCTCTTACGGCCTGAACCCTCTGCCAACTGTTGCAGCAGGTTAAGACCTGTGGGAAGTCCCTAACCACACACACCTTCATCTATTCGCCCAAGAGTACACACAACCAGGTAAGTTATTATATTGTCATTGATACAGGATGGGTGTATTTGTGGTAAGCCCTGTTGCAAAGGTTGGGGTCTTGCATGGCGGCCAGCAGGGGTCAAACTAACCATGGTTACCAAGTTAAAATCACAACAACAACCACCGATAAGACTCGGACTATGTGTGTAAAAAGATTAGGAGAATAGCCTACTATAAACCGTTCCTGACAACCTTTCCAAAACACACACACTCACATGGACACCATAGCAATTAGTTTTACAATCATAGAGTCTGTGACGTCAGGGACACCTGCGGCCATTAGGGGCCAGGAGAAAGGAAAGTAACCTTATAGTCTGAAAAAAACTACACGCACAGAGGCAAGAGGCTGATAAGATCACAATGTTGTGGTATTTTTACCTCGTTCTGACACACACAACATCTCATTGTGTAGATATCGGCCAAAGTGATGGCAGCAGGGAAATTTTATAATGGGAAAGGTGTGTGTGTGTGTGTGTGTGCGCGTGTGTGTGTGCGCGTTTCATGTTTTTATGTCCCATTATGGACTTTAACCTGAATGCACAATAACTGATGGGGACATACATTTAGTCTTTTAGGGTTAGGGTTAGAATAATTTTATAGTTAGGGTATAAGGGTTAAAGTTAGGCAACGAGATGTCCCCACGGGGATAGAAGAACAAACATGTGTGTGTGTACTGCCTATATGTGTGAGGAGACAGCACATTGCCTGGCAGAGGACAATTGTCTCTCTCTCTCTCAAGACAGTGACAAGAAACATACAGTATTAAAGAATGAAGTATATTTATGTCTTCTTTCACAGTTGAAAGTTAAAATGTTTTCTTCCTCCTATGATTTGAACCTCACAATTAAAAATTGTCCAATTTGCAACTTGAACACCCTTTTAGCCAAGATAAAGGTTTTTCTAGTGACAGCAAATTCACTTAAGTCCAACACTTTGTAAGGAGTAAAATACTGCAACTTGGATTACTTAGATCACTTCTGACTTGGTTGCTCACAAAAACTGAAATAAGCCTTTAAAATGTCATGATGGCAGGCACATGTGAAATGAGTCAGGAGCAGTGAGTCCTTCAAGTCATCTCATCCCAGTGCAAAGGTGAAAGTATGTATCTCCCACATCTTGATGTGCACATTGATTGCATTTTTATCAACATGTAACAATCCTTAACAATAAAAGTACATAAACTACATGTTTGTGTCCCTGCATGTTTCCTATTAGTTTCTGTTATCTAAATGAAAACTGCAAGTTAAAATTTACTCAAACTTTGGAGTTTGGATTTGACTGTTTTTTCTATTCCTCTCTGACAAAAGTCTGTCCATTTTGTACATGAAATCTCTGAGTACATTTTACTAACCTGAATTGTGACATGATTAATCATAACATTGGAGCAGTCATTTTTCTTTATTGTTCCCAAATGAATATGATTTATAGACTATTTTCACGGACAACATTTTGACTTTTCATAGCAGGCAAAGAACTGGTGGAACTAATAACATTATTGATGTCTCTGTTTCAGCCAAGGTTATTATAGTAATTTCAGTTTTGTTTTAATTAGTTTTAAAGCAGGTTTGCGAATTTAGTTTAGTTTTTGAAAATGCTTATTTTTAGTTTAGTTTTTATTAGTTTCAGTGTTAATTTTAGTCTTTGGGACTATGCTGTTTTCTCCCGACTCGCCGCCTTGATACCAGGCGATGGGCGTGGATTAAAACGCTTCATATCCACCCAAAATACTAGGCTTATGAGGGCCCCATGAAATAAATTAACAAAGACAAATACATACATACATGAATACATTTACTTTATAATTTTAGTTTATTTTAGATACATTACATTTTCAGTAAGTTCTCGCTTTTTTTGTAAAGCTGAATTTTTAATTTTTTTATTTCAGTTAATGAAAATGTTTTTTCACACTTAGTTTTCATCAACGATAATTACGTTGGTTTCAGCAATCAATGCAATGTAGACATATATAATTAATTAAAGCTGTGTTTGATAATTCAAAATGTCGACAAAAGAGGACGACAGAAAATGAAGCTCTACATGGGAGCTGCTATTAACCTGAGTTTTCTGAACCCAGTAATACAGATTGTTTGTTTGGACTCATTCCCTGAAAAGAGGACATTGAATTCAACCATGGAGTGCATGTTTATCTGCCTCTCAGCTTGTTTAATTATTTAGTGAGAAAATAAATATAAACTGAACAAGGAAACTCTTTCTAGTATACTTCCTGTTTAAACACTGTAACACTGTGTGAGACATATGACTTTCAATTTGTACACACAAACTTGTAATCAGACAAGTAATCAGATACATATCAGCTTTGTGCACTAATGTAGCCGGACAGATATTTGATTTTCTCTACATCCAAGATGCCCAGAATCACGTCTGTTTCTGTGTCTCTCCATCGTAACCACTTGCACACAGCAGCAGCAGCAGTATGGAGTGATTTCTCTGCAACATCTGAGCCTGACATCTCTGTGAGTTCAGGGTGGTGAAGTCACCACCCTGAACTCAGGGTGGTGAATAGAAGGTGGAAATATTAATAATAATATAATATTTCTTCTTTTAGCACACATACGCTTTGATTACTTTACGCTTTAATTACTTGTTTAATGAAATGTATGGGGTTGATTGTTCTTATGTTGTATGTATGATGCTTTGGCAATATTGTTGTTACACATTAATGCCAATAAAGCTAATTTGAATTGAACTGAACTGACTTCTGTACAGCAACAACTAATCTTCAGTCAGATCTCGCTGTGATTGTTGCCAGCCATGACTTGTGCAGATAGTCTGAGACTGGCATGGCAGGAGAAAACAGGGGTTTCCCACAACAAACAAAAAACAAAACCAAGACAACATCAAAACAGGAGAATTAGTGCTGATAATATATCGTCTCTTCCCTCAGGCTGTAGGCTGTCTGGTCGTCTGGCCCTGTCCCTCTGCCTCGAGCCTCACACCAGTGTAACAGCAGTAAAGCTCTGGATTAGGATGAACTATGCCAATTCAAACCACTATGCAGACATTTGGGTTGGCATGTCAAATTCTATTAAATGACAGTATGAAATAAAATTAACCATGTTTTCCATCCTTTAAACTCCTACCAGTGATTCTTCAACTTTTCATTTCTGCCCTCCACTTTCTCAGCCTGGGCCACCCTAACCCCATGCCCCCATTGGTGCCCCTCTCTCTACCCCCTGCCATCCTCTCCTCCCTCCATCTCTCCCTCTTTCTCTCTCAGACACGGGCAGGGTAGGATATCCCGACAAAGCCAGGCTGTACAAACACAGCTCTACAACAGGAAGGCCTCCCAGCCCTGAGAGAGGAATTTCCCCTCAGAGCTCACACACTAATGCATACATGCGCACACGCACACAACCAGACACCCGCATGCACACGCAATTCACACACACAGAGGCATCCAGTATTACCAACCTTTATTTTTCTATATACAACGCTTTCATTCAGCCCTAAATATATTAGTCTATGTACAACAATTAGGATTGTAGCAGACAAAATGTGTATTTTTTCATTTTAGACAACAGGACTTGGTATTTTAATCATTTAAAAATAGCCACCATCTATGGAGCCGTGAAACTGACAACATGGGAAAAACTTTCTTTTACAGGTTAGCAGTTTCCTTATAATTTCCAGGAATGAACTTAATAATTTGATACAAACTATGAGGAAAAACAAAGACAGTGGTCTGTTATTTCAGTCACTTCTGTTGGATTTATGATTATGATGCGGCTGGAAACGACACTGTGAGAGTTATAGAAAATGTTAAATTGTGTGCCTGCCTACAGACTAATTTCACATTTTTTGCATGTTCCACTGACTTAGAATGTAAGTAATTAATTAGAATTAATTAAGTGGAAGTGTACCAATTAAACGCTGTCCTTGGAAATAATTAGGAAATTATGATAGATAGATTTTAAATATTATAGAATACAAGATATAAAACTTTACTAATTAAGATGGAGAAACAAAAATAGATAAGATTTTTATTAACCTCCAGTCATACATATATGATAATATATGATAACATATATATAAACATTTATGCATATATGATAATGACGTGGGTATATCCACATCTGTCGAGAGCAATGATTAGTTAAGGGCTGGAGATGCTGTTTTTAAATTAAAAGTTGTAATTTACTTTACCACCCGACTGGTGGTAAAGATAAAAATGAAAAAGCTTTCCTCTTTTTTTTACCAAATGTTTGGAGGTTAAAGGGAAATTTGTTTTAATGATTTACCAAATGGTATTATTTGTAATTTTGACTCATCTGATTATCCTTTACTGCTTTTTGGTGTTGGGGCTCCACAAATAATCCAACAGTAGAAATATATAATCAAATGCCACAACACTAAGTAAAGCCTCCATATTAAACAAATGCACTTAATCCTTTATGCACATATAAAACGTCAGTGCACTCAAAAGTCTTGTACGCACACACACACACACACACACACACACACACATACAAGCAGGAGACTAACATTCGCTCTGTAGATGATGGAGAAAATTAAATTAACAGAAAACGTTTCACACAACTTTTAATATTCATAATCTGCAGCTGAACATGAGTTGTTTTCATACACCTGCCAACTCTCAAACCCCTTAACATCAGAATGCTCAAGTAATTACAGACGCGTTCAAACACAAAAGACACACACACACACACAAACGCAAATGGTTGTCATGGCAGCAGCTGTGCCTGAGCTGGATTGGATGGTTGACACCTCACCTGCACTGCAAATTAGTAGTGGAGGTAACCACAGTAACAATGCCATTACTATTCCAGTGGCAAACCCTTTTAAGTACAGTAAATATGAAATTATGTTGATGCTGGAACCACTTGTCAGTTTAGGTAAGGTAATTAGAGTGTAAAGAATACTGCAAGAAGTCAAAAAGCTGCAAAGATAATACATTTCAGATGAATTTCAGCTACTAAAGATAAGATAAAATACTATTATCTGGCTACTGAGGTACCCACGTACCCACAATCCAAGCAGTCTCCTGTCAAACATGATTATTGTATTATTGATTGATTTGTCGCTTGAAAAAAATCAATCTCTTTGGATCAAGTGGCAAGAGACATAACGTCAGGGTGGCTAATTTGTGAATTGTGGGAGATTGTGAACAACCATCTCCCTGCCCTCAGGTGGAAAACACACACACACACACACACACACACACAAACAGCACGACATGTGGAATTAGTCCCCCGGTGTGCAGCCGTCCACCGCACCCTGCTCCCATGACCCTGTCTCTAGTTAAAAGTCTGTGTTCTCGGATTCTCGTCGTCTCTTCTGTTTTTCTTTCATTCTGGACATAATTAGCATCAGACTTTATCTTCCCCTCTTCGCCCTCACTCACTTTCCATTCACTACCACCTCCTCACTCAGATTCTTTACTTAAGTAAAAGTAACAATACAAGAATGTAACAATCTGCATTCAAAATAAAAAAAGTAAAAATACAGAGGTTTTATTAGAAACATGTACTTAAAGTACTGGTACTGCAGAAAAAGGCCTCTGTGTCTTATTAATTAATATATATTAAGATTTTCAGTGTATAAGGCTCCTCCAACCGCTAGGTTGGGTCACAAGATAAATTTGAGGGGTCATGAGATGTTTTCACATGGCTGTAGAGAATAAAACACTGTTCTGCAACATAAATCTGTATTAACTTTTTTGACTTTCCTCTAATCTTTTTTGTGTGAAATGCTGGATAATATACCTTAACCATGATCTTTCCCTTAACCTAATTATGTCGTCCTGCCAATAACGGGTGTCAGATAAGAAAACATATGAACAAATGTCATTGAATTTCGAGATTGTTCATGACATTTAAACAGGAAAGCACTCTTTGGTGGAACTGCTAACAACCCCTAGACATCTAAAGAATGACAAGGGACCCCAACTAGTCATTACATTTTCTGTAAGTGGTCACAAATGAAAATGTTAGGGAACCACTGGTTTGTTTTTTAACAATTAATATTTTCTAGGATTTTCATGTTTTTCCCTGTAAAATCTCAATCTGTAAAATAACTAGTAACTACAGCTGTAAGATACATGTAGCGGACTGAAAAAATATAACATTATTTACCTCTGAAATGTAGTTGGATTACAACTGTTAAGTAGCATAATAGAAATACTCAAGCGCAAGTTCCCAAGTGAAA